AGGCATAAAAAATTAACAAGAAACAGAATTCACCAGTAAAACTGTCCAGTATTTCCTGGGTACTCTTACTGACTCCTGCGTCAGATGGTTCATCCTTCTGAGCGTCTACAATGGATTGCCTTGCAAGCTGTGCTGGACCAAGCCGAATTCGCCTATAGCGGTCACCGAATAAACGTATTTCCGCTATTTGCAACTGCTCCAAGCAATCGCTCACCGGAGCTCGTCCAGTAATCAACTAAACTTGACAGTTTTAATGAATTTTCGAGCTCTACAGTTTCCTTAGCTGCTGAAAGGAAAAAGTAGTGAGATTACAAGTCATGGAGTGAGAGCTCAGATACTGGCAGCTTAAAGCAATGCCCTGCCTCGAATTTGAATTCGTATAACAATCCTTCCTCTCATAATGCATGCTTAGGAGGGAAACTGCAAAGTCGGCGTGACATCATTAAGAAGTGAAACGTCCGGATTGCGAATATTAAAATGGTCTTGTTCAGAAAATACTAGAAATACTCGTCACCAACGTCGCCCAATCTACCAATTTGAATATCTCATAGAGGTAAGCGTAATGGAGTGCTACCATATGCCAGCCGCATCTGTGTTAGGCCCGATTGTGAACTAATCCTACTCGATTTTGAACTAATCATACTTGTCAAAACTTGAATCAACCAAGTCGTTAACTATATGAGAAGCTGTTAACAGCTCAGTAACTTATTTCGACTGAAACACTTGGTAAAGCTCTGGCATTTTTATCATTGTCTGACGTTAAAATACAACGCTTTTTAATCGATTTTTTTCTTTTAGGTGCGTCATCGAATGAAAATAATTATTATGAACTACACATGCCTTTTCGAGAAACGGGAGCAGTGGCTGGAATGAGTGTTGCTTGATGTCTAGAACACAGTGCGCGCCGGCAAGCCGGAAATCATATGCTGCTTCATCCCTTCGGCTATTGATTAAAATCACAACATCGGCATCCATATTGTTTTGTAAAATATTGTCAGTGTCAATATAAGATTTGGTGAAATCGATAATCACCACTGATGACACCTGAATTAAGTTCTGCTCAATTTCGTTGCTTTGAAAGCCCTTAAAAGCATGGCGATATATCACTCCCAACCATTAAAACAGAACGGAATCCTGTCATGGGTGCTTTTGTCCGATCTGCTACGTCCGACTCGACAGAAAGGTTTAAATCTCTAAAAGTGCATCACGGATATGAGGGCTACAAGTTTACACTCTAATCACTCCCCTGTATTCTCAGGAAAACTAAATTCGATTTTGAAAAAAATCAACAAGTGATTTATTGAATTTAATGAAGTACCTTTAAATCACGTATGGGCAACCCTTTGGCGACACGCAGGCCTGTTTTACATACTTACGTAAGTTCGCGGGCCATACGATCTAGGTAGCAACGCATCAGGCTTGCTCGCTCGATCGTTGTTTTTGCGATAAACTTTACGCAATCAGATCGTCAACAGTATGAATGATTGTTGCTTTACAGTTTAACATCGTACAACCCATGTGTTGCTTTTGGTCTTTTCTTGTATGTGGAGGAAAAGGGCGTCGGTTGGGACAGTAGCGTTACTTTAGGGTTTACCCCGTTGCTAAGTTAGAAGTGGGTGACAGAGTTCACTCATTTCTGAATACACGCACACAGAAATGTTCTCGACATTATGCGTTTTTGCATTCGCATAACATGCAAAAAAGCATAAAAACAGACAAGTTTTTTCCGGATTATTTATTTAGTAAAAAAACAACAGCAGGTTAATGTGAGCTTTAGGCTTGAACTTTTGACACAAGATGGTTGAAATCAGGATTTACCACTGACGCAGAGTCTTAAAGTATTTCCCAGACTGTCATCTATTAGCCTCGTTCATATTTTAATTTTATGCATTTTATGCTGTGCAACAGCTGCATAAAAAGCATGTTGTCACGGGTTTGCCTGTGTGTACGTTTGTGTATGTGCGTGTGTGTGTGTGTGTGTGTGTGTGCGTCCGATGCATCTTGCCTGCAACTTTCATTTTTCAACTTGGGAACCGCAAAAGCTAGGAAGCAGAAAATTTAGGGGAGTATTCCCATGTCCAAATTTAATTAATTTTCGGGAACTATGGAAGCTAGGGAGTTGAACTTCTGCGGTGATGATCCTTGCCTAAGCACGACTTCACAATTACAGAGTCTCAAAGTATTTTCCAGACTATCATCTATTAGCCGGATATCACATACAGCCCCGTGAAAATTTTGGTGGAGAAAATATTTCGAGGACCATAAAAACTAGGGGGCTGAAATCTTGCAATAATGTTCCCTGCTGCAACTTCTAATTCAGTCTTCCCTTATGTCTGGGTACTACGTGCGACTTTGGTGCGGAAAATTATTATCTCGGGAACCACGAAATTTGGGAGGCCAAGCTTTAGGGTAATGATTCCTGTCTACATATGACCTCACAAATTTAAAATCAGCCTTACCGCACACTCAGGTATCAAGTACGGACCTGTGAAATTTTTAACGGGGAAATTGTTATTTTGGGGATCAGAAAAGCTAAGAGGCTGAAAATTTCAGGAGGATGTTTTCTGCCTGTGCAGGGGTCTTACAAACTCAAATTAAGTTTTCAATTATGCCGAGGTCTCACGTACGACCAAATAGAAATTTTGGCGCGAATGTCTTTCGAAAGCTGTAAAATTAGGAAGTTGAAATTTTGGAAGAATGTCCGTTCTCCAAAGTTTCAAATTTAGCTTTTACGTGCCGGTACGTGAAATTTTTCGTGAGAAATTTTGCAGCTTAGGGACTGGACAACATTTCAATACTTTTGCACAGAACAAAGTGCAAAGCAACCAAAATTTTAGCCAAATGTTCTTTAGACGAAACTGCGCAAAAAGCATGATCGCACCAGCTGCTCTGGCGCACCGCTATTTATTTATTTTCGTGAGAATGCAGTGACGTGGCACAGTACAAACCTCTCGTTCATCTATTGAGGCACCACATTCCGATTCCTTCCTCGAGCCGGATCCGGCCCGCGCGCCGCCGGTTGCCCAGCTGCACTTCAAATGAAGCAATTTTTACCTGAGTCTTAGAGACGAAGTCGGAGTCGTCATTGCAGCAGCAGACGTGTTCCCAGAGAATGTTGGCGCAATCAACTCCGGCACACAGTACCCCAATTTGAGGTTCCATTATGCCGCATTTATGCTCTACTTCATGTAAAGCAGTCAAGTAGGTCTTCCCAGTGCCAGCAGCTTGCTTCACATTTACAAGTATGTCGGAATCATCGACAAGCAAACCAAATTCTTCGCTATTCAGTACGATAATGGAAGCCACTGAGAATATTTGATCCAAGAACTGCGAATAGAAGAGCGGCAATTGGCTTGTGACACCGGTATCATGGTAATATATTTTAGCAGCATGGTCTGAAGTTGCAAGTGGTGAGCAATTATATAAGTTGCACAAAACATGCTTAAAGCCGTGAAGAAAAGTATGCGTTCTGAAGGTTGCTCAGTGACTAACTTCGGCAAAATCATTGTATTTTTTATAAATTTTAAGTTGAGAATATTTCTGTACTAAAAAAAATTTTAGTCTTAAAGAATTCTGTTAAAAAAACCTTTTTCTGTCGAACAATAAAGCAGAAGGTGATCTATGTTGAGCAAAAATTTTTGGCTTGTTATTTTTCAAATTTATTTTTTGTCTAAAAACTTAATTCTTCAAG